GGGGTTTTTATTTCAGATAGGCTTATTTCACTTAGCATGATGTTCTCCTCTAGTTCCATGCATTTACCTGAAAATGCCATAATTTCATTTTTTTCTTTAAGGATGAATAATATTCCATTCTGTATAAGTACCACATTTTCTTTATCCATTCATGTATTGAAGGGCATCTAGGTTCATTCCATAATTTAGCTATTGTGAATTGGGCTGCTATGAACATTGATGTGGATGAGTCACCAGGAGTATGCTGGTTTTAAGTCCTTTGGGTATAAACCTAGGAGTGGGATAGCTAGGTCAAATGGTGACTCCATTCCAAGTTTTCTGAAGAATTTCTAGACTGCTTTCCAAAGAGGTTGCACCAATTTGGAGTCCCACCAGCAATGTATGAGTGTACCTTTTCCTCCACATCCTGGCCAACACTTATTGTTTGTATTTTTTATGATTGCCATTCTGACTGGATGTGGGGAAAGTGCATGGAGTACTGCATATGTAGCATAAGTTCAAGGTGTCTGAGTGCAAACCACTCCCCTGTGCTAGGCATGTGAGTGGCAACCACTTAACCCATAGGCACAGCCCTGGGCTTGTTACAGTCCCTGAGCTTTCTCCATGGCCCACTCCTTGATTGGTTGCTGCAAGAACAGTTAGCCAGCAATTGTATTGGTGGCTACCTGTAATCTGCCTAGCTACTGCCTAAGTGTGTGTGTGTGTATATATATATATAATCATGCACACCCAGAGGAATTAGAAGTTGTGCTTCATTTGAGTGTGTGTGTGTGTGTGTGTGTGTGTGTGTGTGTGTGTGTGTATTAACTGAACAAAAAAAATCAGTCCTGCTTCCTGCTTGGTCTCCAGAGGTCTTGATTAGCAACTCTGCAGCCACACTCACCTGTATCCTGTTCTGTGGACCTCCTCACTGGACAAGAGACAGCTCACTCAACTGGAGTGAGATGAAATAGTAGTTTTGATTTGCATTTCTCTAATTGCTAGAGATGATGAATATTTTACCATATGTTTGTTGATTGGTGGTATTTCTCCTGTGAACTGTCTGCTTAGTTTCTCAGCCCATTTATTGATTGGCTTATTTGTATTTTTGGTGTTAAGTTTTTTGAGCTCTTTATATATTCCGGAAATTAGTGCTCTATCTGAGTTGTGTGTGGTAAATATTTTTTCCCATTCTGTAGGTCTCTCTTAATGTTATTGTTTGTTTCCTTCAAAAAAGATTTTTTAAACATCTACTTGCTATGCATATTTGTTGTGACAGGCAAAAATGTAATGTTTTATTTTATTGGCTGTAGGGGACCTTTGACAGATTCTAGATGCCATGTGTTTTAGAAAGTAATAAGGGGAAAGCACTGGAACAAAGAGATATGAACATCTTTGTTTGTAAGGTGATGGAAAGTTATAAAGAATGATTGAGTAAGAATTTATGAAAGATAAAAGTTAGGTAGCAACTCTGGGGGTATATGGAAGAGGGAAATGGAAGACAATAGGTAAGAATACACAAAGCTTAATGCTATTTGGATATGAGAAGATGGAGGGATTGACTTAGATCTTCTTTGCTATATTCCTATATTGCCATTCTGACTGGATGTGGGTTAAATTGTGATTGACAATAAGTTGAGGTTAAAATATAGGTGGCTAAGAAGATAATGGGCAAGCTGGTACTTCTACACCATTCTGATGGTGCTATAATAAACAATCAATAGACAGATTTGGTATTTGGGTAAAATATAGCTGTGGGAAATTTTAGAAGTTGACATTGTGAAAATAGTGGCAAAAAATCATGGCACAGAGAGGAAAAAGGAGGAGGAAAAAGAGGAGAAGGAAATACAAAGGACAATAAGAATAAGGAGGACCATCAGGAGGAGAATGAAAAGTGGGCAAATAACTGAAATTTTATGTAGCTTTAATTAATTACTTCACTATATTTTTGGGCATAGTACACTGGTTGTGGGTGTCATATAATATTCAAAATAAAAATCTATATTGATATAGAACATTGATATAGTTCTCTTTTTACTCATGGCTTAAAAAACAAAACAGTGCTGTGTTTTGTCTCATGGCTTCATATTAGCCTTCATTTCTTTGAAGTGCACAGAATGCAATTTGTTGCTGATATGGGTTTATCCTCCAGTGAGTCCCTGAAGATAATTAACCCTAAAAAATATCATAAACTATGGCTTGTTTTAGCATCTCTTACCATAAGTTTTTCTATGATGAGCACAGGCAATCAACAGTGATGCACCTCTTTACAGGATTGAAAAAAATATCTTGTAGTTAATTGACTTTTGAAGAAACAATTCATAAGACATTCTTTTTTCCTATGTAGTATGGAGGACACACAGGACAGTTAACTATTGTAAATATGATATGATAGGCTTTGCTATCACTGAACCAAAGCAATTTTATGGACATGAAGAAACTGGAAAGACCTGGGAGTATGTGACTAAAATTCTTTTCTGGAATAAGAGAAAGAAGGGTGATTATGTTTAGAATATGAAGTATCTCAATAATAATTGAAATTTTACCATCTGGCTATGGTACTTTGCTCTTACATCCGGGCTTTTGCTTTATGATTTTTAAAATTTAGGGATTGAAATAGACTATCATGAAGTTTCCTTTAGTTTTAAAATTTCACAGTAATTCTGAGACATACCAACTCTAAGACTAATTTAATGTTAGAAACATCAACAGGCAAAGGGCTCTAATGTTAGGCAGTTCTACAGATTTGAATCAATATGGCAGGAAATAAATATCAGGGATTTAACTTAAATCATATGAAATTGTCATTTATGTAGGTCAAAGATAGACAATATTGTATGTTTTGACGTATTATTCTAGTATCAATATAAGCAAGCCATTGCATTTTGTTTTGATTCATTTTATTTTTTGGAAAATAAAAATTTGATAACCAATTCCATAACACATAAAGGGATGTAACATCATACAATGAAGTACTTTGAAGTTCTTCGAAATATAGATACAATATAAATACTACACCATCAGAGTGTTGTGTAAAAAAAGACAATGCTCAAAGTATGATATAGGCTTCTGATTCAGTACTGGAATTCTTTACTTGGTAATTGTTCCTTTTCCATATTCACCTGGATAAAATCTTCCTTTGTATAGAATCTATTTTGTCTGCAATACCCTATCCCAGAGCAAACCATCTTTGTCTTCCCAACAAGATTTATCAAATCTAGAACCTAATATTAACTATCTTCCATTTTTGACACTCGCATTCAACTTCTTGGCAGAGATATATTGCATTTATATATTTGAGATTAGATATACTAACAAAAATTAGGTTGTATTTATTCAAGAAAGAACTGGGACTGCTGGCCCCTGAAGTTGAGTCTTCATGGTTCATATCATCAGCTTACTAGATCCCAGAGTAGGGGCTGGAGGTGATAGAAATCTGCAGACACACAGCTGAGTTGAAAGGGCTTTATCCTCAGGTTGACAGATGTGGGGTATTTATTTTCTGAAGAGTAGAGAATCCTGGTAGAAGTACAGGGCTTATGAACAAACATTTGTTTCCCCAGAATCCTCATAAATGCAGACCACAGGTTATGGAAACACAATGGAAAGTATAGAAAAAGAAAAGAAAATGTTGGGGAAGCTTATTAAAATTTATTATAGGTCCCAAATTTTGTAATTCTGAAGCTTAAGGACAGATGGTGGTGTAACTCCACCAATTTCACAAACATCTACATACAATTTTCATTATAATACATATTATCCTTGTTTTGACTTTGGTGCAACTAGAATTTTCTTTTTTTTCTTAAATGTATCTGGGAGAAGAGTGGGATAGTCTGCCGAAAAGGAGTCTGTTTATTTGCTCATCTTTGGAAAACTACAGTGGAAGTGAAAAATAGTAAGCTGGCAAGAGAACAGTCTATTTGGAGTAATACAACTTTGAAGGAGGCATCTTTAGGAGGAAAAATTATTTTTAAAAATTGTGATCTTCCAGACATCTAACAAGTGAGTTAAAATTTAGGTGTAAGTCATAAATATTCCAATAAGATGGCGCTAAAAGAAAAGTGTAGTTGTCGTTAGACTCAAAGTTCTGGAGAAAACAGATTATGTATGTGAATATTTATAATTATTCATTACATTTTTATAACAAATAACTAAAAATCCATGCGGCTCACTCAGACTATCCTTAAAATTGAACCAACATTTCTAGTGTGTCATTCATGTCCCTCACTTTTCTTCAAAATACCTTTAGTTAGTCTTATTTCGTGTGGTTTATTTTGCACAAGATTCTCTAGCAGACATCAGTCCAAATGAATTTACCTTTCCTTGGAATAGCAAAAGAGCAGTGTTTCAGATTTTGTTGATTGGTGGTTTTATCATAAAATAAACTAGAAGTCAAATAAACTTTATGTGAGGGAGCATCGAGGTCTGCTTGCTAAAACTGCTGTGATCCAATTTAACTTTTCCTTGGAACCTCTTTAAATGCCTTTTGCAGATCCACGTGGAATCCCGGTTCATTTGCCAGCAGCTACATCTGCTGAGAGGACCTATTTGGGGACTGCCAAGAAGCAGCAGAGGCAACTTGGTTTTGCCAATACAGTATGTGGTTTTGTTCTCCTCTCCTTCCTCACCCCATTTCCTTGACTCGCCAACTGGGGAAAGCAAGAGGAGGCAGAACAGAAGGTGGGCAGAAGGGTGGGGATGGGGGAAGATAGGATGCAGAACAAACAAGTTCTCCAGCAAGTTATTTACATTGCAGGTGAACTGACATCAATCTGGAGGCTCCACTGACAGTTGGAACAATATTCTGCCTGGCATTTTCCCCTCCCTTGAAGTTGGGAAACAGTGGGGGATAGGTGGAATGGGGAGACAGGCATCTTATCTGGCTATTTCCTAACCACTTTGGGATCAAGAACAAGGACTACAGTAACAGCTTCAAGACAAAACAAGCAAATTTTGTCTCCCCCCCCCCCCCAATGGGCCCCTTGAGAAGAAGGCAGCTCAGCACAGGGTGAGTGAGCTGAGGTTTCCTCCGTCCCCATCCTGGCGCGCCTCCATCTGCCGGCAGCAGCTGCCAGCGACTCGCGCGTGGCTGTGTGGTTTGGGGTTGTCTGTCTGGGAACCGCGGGTGCCATCTTCTGGGTCGCTGCCGACTGTGTCCTCGGTCGCGGTAAGTTTCTTTGCCCCCCTTCTGGGGCATTGGACCTCTGCCCTGCACGCTGTCCCAGCTACCTTCAGCCCCCCCCCCCCACCCCGTCAGGCTGCGACTTGATTCCTTGCTCCTCCCGTCGCCGCACCAAAGGTTAGCCCTGCCGCCTGCTCTCCGCGCCAGGGGGCGAGGGTAAAGAGTCAAATTTGCTTCAGCCTTGGGGTCATCACCATTTGTTGTTCTTTTGCATTTTGCTATGAATGGGGGAAGGAGGAGTCGAGAAAGGAGAGTTTCACTGTTGGTTCAGGGATTTTTAGTTTTGAATAAGCAAAATACATCGTCCAGAGTGACCGCAGCCGGGGGAAAATGTGTGGAAACACCAGATGTGTGTTTGTTTACTGTTCTTTTTAAAATTATTTCTTGTCTTTTCCTCCTCTTCCCTCCCCCCACCACCCTAGAGAAATACAGTAAAAACGTGTTGGTTTAGAAGCACACACTTTATTGATCCAAGTGCTGATCTTTATTCAGTTGGGCTAGTGCATGCTTCTTGTTCCTAAATTAAATTAAATTCTTGTTCCTAAAGCTTATGCTTTATGAAAAGTGTAAATAGTCAAAGTAACACCTGGTTTGAGAGAGATTTGTAGAGAATATAACACTGTAATGAATGTAGTTAAACGAATTTACCAACTATTTTTTTTTTATTTCAAGAGAAGATGTGACAGATACAGAATAGATTTACATAAAAAGGGTATTCTTTGTGATTTTTAAGAGGATTTATAGTCGGCTCTGCTTCATCACCCTTATTCTATTTCTGTGTTGAGAGTCTCATGTTAAATCTGCTATTAGTTATAGTACTGATATAGAACTGATATAGAACCTAGAATGATGGACATGATATATTTTCTGCCTCTCTGAACTAAATCAGAAAGTGGTCATTGATTTTAAGAAAAGAATATGATTTAGGACACACTTCACTAAGAAGTTTTCTTGACATGATTGTTAGTAGACAAAATTGGAAATCCTAGTTGAATTCAGCAATGATCTCTGTTCCAACTCAACTACTGAATATTAATTTTTGGCATACTCCAACTATTTTCAAAGCTTTGCGATAAATAATAGTACTCTTATCAATAAATGAAGGGACCCAAAATGTTCTAAGGAGTGCCCAAATACATACTGCTGCTTGATAAACGAAAGCCTATTTATTTTATTAGTCCAATGAGATCTTAATATTTGTATATGTTTCTGATAGAAGCCTTTTAGATGTGGCCTTTAATTCAGAGTTCCAACAAATTGGAGGAAATCCAACCCAGAAAGAGCTGCTTGTATTCTTAAGACTTCTGTAATGGTAATTCAGGTGCTTGAAACTAAAACAAACAAAAACAAAACAAACAAACAAACAAAATATATCACAATGTTTGTGGTTTGCAGATAGTTTAATGCCTAATTTGAATTTCGAATGCTATTGGCTACATCTGTTTTTTCTTTGAATGCAATAACATTTTCTTAGATTTGAGTATTGATTTCTTCATATACTTGGACTAGTGTTGTATCTTTTGTATAGTCTTTATCAAGCAGAATAATATAGTTCTTTGGGCATTTTTCCCCCTCATGAGGCCTATCAGGTCATTTTTATTGTTTTCTTAAGATTTCCTTCCAAACTTTTAACTTCTTCATGTTTTTCTCAGAACTTTGAAGTAGACACCACAACTACTTTTGGTTCAGTTTTCTCTTACATTTTAAACATAGCTAGAAGGAGTGTCTAAAAGTGCCATTACTTTTTTTTTTAAAACCAAGCATTGGTTTTGTGAAAATTCATTATTTTTAAATTATATAAATACTCATAGTGTATTCTTTCCTATAGAAATTCTTTGCTTGTAGATATTCTCTCTTGATAAAATACTTCCACTTGTGTATTTGCTTATCATTTATATATACTATTTTTGCTCTGCCCATCTGTCTATCTATTCTCTGCCCTAAATTTTTCAGACAAAACAAACAAAGAAGTGATGAGCTTTGGTAAAATGGAAAAAAGTTATGACTAAGAAGCTAATATTAAAATATTGAGATGCCATAGAGAGGGTTTTAGAGAATATTTCTCTGTATTAGGTGCAATAAGAGTAATATTCAAACAAAACAAAGTCAACCTATATGTATGTGGTGAGTTGTTTGCAGTAGAATTAGTCATTAAAAGTATTTTTTTCTTTATATAGTTGCTTTGCTAATTTGCTGTTTCTTCAAAGGAAGTACTGTGAAGTATGTGCCTAATTAATTTTAGAAGTATAATTTCCATTTTATAATTGACTAGGTATTATGTTTATTCATACAGATATTTTCCTAGCAGCCTACTTAACAGAATATGTCTGTGCTCTAAAATGGGGTATACTGACATCATGCTTATTTCAATTTAAAAAAAAAGATTGTAATTAGGTTATTTGTAGCTTATGATTCACTTTTACTTTTTCATTTTTTAATGGTGAACTTTGTTTACTCCCTGTAAGTCGTGTTATGTTAAATTTCCCAACTTTTCACATACACTTTAAATTCAAAAATTAGTTCGCTTAAATTTTATCTAAATTTTTATTTAAACGCATTTTCTTCATAAGTCTCCAAGGGGATTCCTTTGCATCTGAAACAGTTGTTCTTGGACCAGTACTCAATTCCAGCTAGCTTTCAGCTTTCTAATCAGTTGCACTCTTTCTTCTTCCTACTATCCACTAAGGATATACCCTCTCTTTATATTGATTAGGATGTCATAGGACAATGTTGTCTTCATTCTTCTCTGCTATGACAAATTATTTTCATTAGCAAGAGTGGATAAAATTTAATGTTGAGAAAGCACATTGCTATAAAGCAAATGAATTCCCAGGGGTTTAAAAGCTCTCAGCATGTTTAGTTTATTAATGTTCCTCAATTTCTTTCAATTAAAATATACTTTGTGGAAGATAATGTTGATTTAAAATTTACTTAAGTCTTTTGCAGTTCCTTTTGAAGATTTTTCTAAGGTAAGTCTAAAAGATTGTACCATTAGAATGTCACAAGTGTTTTTTTGTGTTTTTTTTCCCCAACAGGTTAAAGAAATTAACTTTGACTTCCCCAAAGGATGCTACTACAAAATAACTTAAAGTTTTTCTGGTATGCATTGATTTTTTTCTTTTTTCTCAATTTTTAAGTTATTTGAAAGCATATTCTATGAAAGCATTCTGCATAATTTTGTTTTGTAATATTTTAGAACACATATTACAACCATAGCCATGATTTTGTAACTTTATTTAAAGCTTAAGAAAAACAAACTTTGTTAAAGTGTATTTCAAGGAGAAGAAAAAGAAATTGATGACAGACATATTTTGGAGAAGCTTAACATTTCTCACTGGTGGATCATGAGGAGGAAGTTAACAGTACACTAATCCAAATATCTTATTATTTTAGCATATGTATACTGTCATAAAATCATCTCATTTAAAAATGACCCCAAGCATCTTTCAGAACTATTCCTCACTATTACTTCACCCAAACTTCTCTTCCACGTTTTGGTTGATTTTCATCTGTGAACCTGTTTCTAACTCTCACTTTCTTTTGTCTTTTGTTTCTTCCTTTTGGAGTCTGCCTTTAGTTAAAGAGCAACACAGAAATGATCTCATTTTATGTGTGTGTGTGTGTGTGTGTGTGTGTGTGTGTGTGTGTGTATACATGTACATGTATCTATTAATTTGCTTTATATATATATTACATGTATTGAATCACATGCATATATATTTGGTTTATAATACCAACATGGTCAAATATAACATTGTCTCCTACCTGAACTGTTACAGATACCACAATTGATGCTTCATACAGTATGTTGGTCTTATGTAAACCTTCCAACAGCTGCTTATATCTCTCAGAATAAAATACTAACTTCTGTGTCTTTTCATTTTTCCTTTTATTCAGTCTACTCTAGATACACTGGCATTCTTGATATGCCTCAAAGTAAGATAACTGATTTCTACTCCAGACATTTTCTCTCTGTTCTCTGTCTGGAATGCTCTGTACTCAGATATCTCTGATCTGGTGTATTCCTCTTGGGGAAACCTCTCAATGCACTGTATAAAACAGCAGATCCTTACTGTTCATATTTTGTATCCTTTACCATATTTTACTTTTCTCCATACCACCATAACCAACTAACATTTTAGAAAGTTACTTATTTTTCATCTGTTCCCTAAGTGAGAATGTATATTACAAGGTGCCAGAGATTTTGTTTTGTTCTGTACTCTAGCTCAATGCTTACAAAAGTGCCTCGGCACATGGTAGGAACTCCATAAATAAATGTTGAATGAAAGAATGAATAGCTCACTGGAGGCCCCAGATATGACTTCCATCTATATCATTGTATAATTTGTTTTTCATATAATCAAAATTAGTTTTCAACCTGCATCCATTTGATACCATTTCATATTTGGAAAGATTCTTTACTATTACATTGGAAGAAACATCCCAGATGGACTTATGTCTAGCTCTAGCTCAATTTTATAGATCCTTTTTTAAAATTTAACCTTTTTTGGGGGGGGGGACACCAGGAATTGAACTCAGGGATACTCAACCACTGAGCCACATCCCCAGCTCTATTTTATATTTTATTTAGAGACAGGGTCTCACTGAGTTGCTTAGTGCCTCAGCTGTTGCTGAGGCTGGTTTTGAACTAGTGATCCTCTTTCTTTTTTGTTGTTGTTGTAGATGGAGAGGATGCCTTTATTTTATTTGTTTATTTTATGTGGTACTAAGGATTGAACACATGCTAGGCAAAGTGGTCTGCCACTGAGCTACAGCCTCAGCCCTTTTATTTAATTCTTGATCTGGGAAATAATAATATGTTTAATTTTGAACATTGGGAGTGGATATATATGGTTTGGAAAACAAACTCTCAATAGTTGAATGCTTTAATGTAATAATGCTCAACACAAGTTAAAATTGACATTTAATTAATTAATATATCTTAGTATAAATGTTTCTAATGGATATACCATGAATACAACATGGACAAACCACATATTTCTGGGTCTTTTTGCAGTAAAAAACGGAGGGAAGTGGATTGAATCAAAGTCTTTTTTGAGATTCTGGGTTTTATAACCAACCTAGATGGTTTTACTTCTTTGCATTGGAAAACATAACAAAAGTTTACAAGTTCCTTTTGTCCGTTTCCTCCCCAATATATACCCTTAAACAGAACGGATTGAAGGTTTATGATTTAATGAAAACTCCAACTCTTCAAATTTAAAATCCCACCCTTTAGCTTGCTTGTGAATACTAACTCATGAATGAACCATAGAACTTTTCATATAATGAAACACAGCCCCAACTACAGGAGTACTGCATATATTTATTGTAGTTTGTTTTAAAGAAAATGGAAGAGAGATTTTGTACAGTGCACCACGTAAGACATTTTGTGTCAAATCTCATGTGACATGTTTCTTCTTCCCTTGGGGAGTGCCAAAGTGTGTAGATCCTCATGGAGGTGGTCCCTCATAGCTTCCCTTCCCCAGGCCCCAATGTGTGATGCGTGTGTTCATGCCGAGCCTGCAGACTCCATGAAGTGTGCTGTCTCTGGTGTTTTCTTGTCTCCTTCAACCCTTTGCAAATTTAGCACAATCAAAAGGAACAGAGGGCAGGGAATAATGTCTTGTTAGTTTTTTACAGTCATACAACTTTGTAAATATTCATATTTCATTACATTTTACCTTGTGTATGGTTTGGAGTATGTCTGTTTGACTAAAAATAATATTTCTTTTACACACTTTATGTTATTCCCAATAAAATAGTGTTAAAGCTCAATTTTCTTTCTGGGCACAGTGGTGCATGCCTGTAATCCCAGCAGCTTGGGAGGCTGAGGGAGGAGGATCATGAGTTCAAAGCCAGCCTCAGCAATTTAGCAAGGTCCTAAGCAACTCATCAAGAATAAGTCCCTAAATAAAATATAAAAGGAGCTATGGATGTGGCTCAGGCTGTGGATAAGGCTATGGATAAGCAACCTCAGGTTCAATCCCTGTACCACGAAAAAAACAAAATTTTTTTTCATCAATTTCTTATACTTCCACAAAAGTATGACTTTAAAATTTCTCTTTTGTGACACTTTGCTTATTTGTAACTTTAAGAATGTCATGATATTCCCAATCGCACATGTCTGTTGCTGAGATTATTCTACAAACAGGAAAAAGGCAATGCAATTTGTTATTTCTAATTGGTATTAGAGTTTACATATCTGTTCTCTTAGACATTCCTCTAATTGTGTCTTGACAACATCTTGTTAGCTGAAACAAAGCCAAATTCTAAAATAAGGTGAAGTACATGTTTATTCATCCTACATTAAAAGAAGTTCTGTTTTCCTTTTGGAGATGACTTGTTTTTCTGTCTTTGAACCAATTCTAAGTGCAAACATACTCTCACAATTGGTAGCAAAATATAGGACATGTGACTAATGAAAAAACAATATTTTTATTGGAATTATATGTCTTATAGGAAGATAATTTTAAAAGTAGCATGTGACTGGATAATTTTATTTTTTACATGATAACTATTCATGTAAAAGTGAAAATGTATTATTTATAAAAAGCAAGCTGCTTATATATTTGACATTTGAATTTAAGGAAAGATTAATTACTATATTCTGGAAATAATTCTGATAAATCTTAATATGTTTATTTTTATTATGTTTATTAGTTACACAACCATATTTTCGTAACTGATTATTACAGAGTTTTTTCAAAGAGTTTTATTTCTCTATTTTGCAGTCCAAGGTTATTTACATGGAATAAAATTCACCCCTCTTTAGTGTTTAGATCTTCATATTTTGACAAACATACAGTTGTGTAATCACCACTACAATTAAGATGTAGAACATTTTCCTCACCAACTTTCTTCATGTGGCTTTAAGGTCATCCTCAGAAATTCTCTGACAAGGGGAAAATGTAAAGAACTTCTTTGCCATAAAATAACATAAATGCCCTGTAGTTCAATTTCCAGTAGAGTCCTCCTCTGAAACCCCATGCTCTCAGTCTTACTCTCCACAATTATATTGGCATTTTGGTCTTATGCACTCCTGCAGGAATCATCCACTAAACTCCATATATGATGTTTTAAAGCTTTTCCAGATTCATCTCCAATTTTTTCACAATTCCTTTCCCTCAAACCAGCACCAAAGGCTTCTGAACCACACACAGTCAAGTTAGTCAGAGCAATGGCCCCATTCCCAGTACCAACTTTTGTTTTAGTTAGCTTTGCATCACTGAGACCAAAAGACCTGCAATAACTACTTAGAGGAGGGAAAAAATTATTTGAGGTTCATGGTTTCAAAGTCTCAGTCCTTAGATGGTCAACTCCATAGCTCTGGACTCATAGAGAGGTAGAATATCCTGGTGGAAGGACATGGTGCAGGGAGGTAGCTCAGAACAAAACAACTATGAAATAGAAAGCAAAGAGAGAGAGAGAAAAAGAGACGTGGGGGTGGGCCGTGCTCTTTGCTCAACAGGGACAAAATATAAACTCAGTATGCACACCCCCAGTGACCTACTTCATCCAGACACACCCTAGTAACTTACTACCCAGTTAATCCATACCTGTGGATTAATTCACTGATTTGATTACACCTCTCATAATCTAATCATTGCATCTCTGAAAATTTTTGTGTTGTCTCAAACAGGAGCTTTTGGGGGGACACCTCATATATAAGCCATGCATTTGAGATTAATCTATGTTGTTATGTGTATCATTTTTGCTTTTGCAAGAATGTATTAGAGTTTTCCTGTCATAATTAGGAGTTTGGAATGAAGACAGGTTAATAATTTCTAACATTAAGAATTTATCTGGGGTGTTCATCATAAGTAGTTTTCTCCCTAGTCTCACTTCAACCTCCAATCTCTGTTTTGCTTTTTTCCTCTCTCACACTTGCTTTTTTTGTTTTGATGAGTGTTTTTTGTCTGTGCCGGTATAGTCCTTGTCATCTTCTTGGCTAATTGAAAGATTTAAGACCGATTGAGGTAACAAATTCTTAAGAAAGAAGCTCATTATCAATTGTTTAATGATGTTAATTCATGTGCTCATTCTTCAGCCATGGACATCCTTTGGTTTTGCTAAATGGCAAAATAAGTAAGAAGAGT